AAGGTTCATTTCTTTATAAATACCAAGGTTTTGGGATTTGGGAAGGACACTTGAGTGGACCTAAAAAGGCATCTCCTTAGAAAAATGAGAAAACCTTAAGTTCGTAATACTCTAGTTTTTATTGGTCGAGTCCCGACTAACCTTCGGGACTTGGATCGTTCGGGTCGGGTTCGTGGGTACGAGCCGTCGAAGATCTTCGCATTTGCGGGGTTCAAGTAAGAGCTCGGGATTCGAGCGAAGCACGCGCCAAGGGTAAGAATGTCTTTTCTTCTCTCTCTTAATTGTTGTTTATTAGTGATTGCATGCTTAGTCGCTTTAATTAGTGTGTGGATCTTGGCGAGTTTCTCTTCCGCGTAGAGTCGGACTCTACGAAACCCAACAAATAATACACAAACTAAGACTTTGAGTCTAATATAATTCATCATATTTCACTTTCTCCACATTGGATGACAAAGGTGTTCTAATAAGTATTGAATTTAGATTTGGAAAAACTCTCCATAGCTCACACGGGGCATTTAACAACTAAATTCCTACAAGGAAATTTTATCAACTTGTAGGATTATAACCCCCACATGTCAATGTTAAGTCCAAATTCACAACATAGTCAAATTTGGAGAAAGAAATGAATATGCGAACAAATCTCCATGGTGCCTTTAATAAGTTACCTTAGTGATCGACGAATAACAACTCGATTACCACCACTTGAATTGATTGTGCATCCACTAAGTACTTTGAGTTCTTGAAGCAGACTTGGACCCTTGTTCTTTACAAGATCATACATCAACGAATGCTAAGTACACTAAGGCCTTGTTTAGTTCAACTTATTTTTACTTATTTCAGAAAAAATAAGTTCAGATTAGATCAGATTAGAAAAATTAAAATCAGATCATATCAGAAAAAATAAGTTCAGATCAGATCATCGTTTTATGTGCAATTTTTTATCGCTAAATATCTTTTATATCATAATGGAAAAAATTATGAAAATTACATACTAGTAAAATACAAATCATTACAAATCTAACAAAACCCCACTTGATATATTTTTTACTTAGAGATTATCGTACACTTAACGTCAAATTTTGGTCAACTCAAAGAATCAGATCAAATTAGATCAGACCAGATCAGACCAGACTAGATCAAATCAGACCAGATCAGATAAGTTCAAATAAGCAAAAATAAGATGAACTAAACAAGCTCTAAGACGGTACAATATAAACTTTTTTTTTTTATGATTAATTTTGTTTTAATAAATAAATTTTCATGATTTAATAATTGAATAAATAATGAAACACCACGGAGAGGTTTACATTATAAGAAGTCGGAGTATAAACTTGTCCGATTAGAGCGGGCGATAATATCTAAGTTGGAGGAAGTTTGACTGGGAAACATGTTAAAAGCAGCTTTGCTTCGAAAAGCACTAAAATTTAACAATGCTTTACGACGTCGTGCCGTAGCTACCTTGTCGCATCACCCCTTCCTTTGACCAGTACGACCACTGACCGATCCATTCATTCATGTGCTTCAGTCCTTGGGACCTTTACATTCTTTTATTATAAAAATCATGTCTCTAATTTAATTTGGTTTATTATCTTTTTGTTTTCTAATTTTTAATTTACTACTCCGTATTATTTCATAGAAGTATTTTTTTTTTTTTGTTGTTGTACAAGATTTGCAAAATGTTAATAATGCACCTATCAATTCCAATTTATGTGTATCACGAAATATAATCAAGACCTTGCTTATTAGTGCTTCAGACAATAATTTAAAATAGTATCAAAATGCATTTCACAAGTATATGTCAATTGATGTTATTAATTGGGAAATTCTCTTTCATAAACTACAAACTTTTATTTTTTTCTCATTGATAAAGTCTGAAACTTTTAATTATCAATTATAACCATTAATTACTATTACTAAGCAAATAGTAACTTAAGTTAGACAATTTGTTAATTCTTTAACCATGGTTTAACTATTAGACAGCGAAAAGACACAACTACCCCCATTTAATTACCCCTTCTCCCTTCCCCCTCATTTTCTTCCTTTCTCTTTCCTCCTTCCAACATCAATGGCGGCAACCCTAACTTCTCAATTCACCAATCTCCAACAATCAATCGATTCCAAAACCTGACCTTAGGATCAAACCCCCAAATTCTCGATGTTATCTCGAAGATCTCCATGAACGCAAAGCTTCAATCTCAGTCCAAGAAATCGAGTCCAAGAAGAAATCCGCCATTCCCGAGGTCGAGAAACCTGTAGATGAATCCAGGCCGTTCAAGCATTGAAGCAATATATTACATTCAAACCCCAGAAAAATTAAGGTTATTTATAACAAAATTAAGGAAATGGGTAGCGAAAAAATACCAAAAAAAAAGTACTGTAAGATAAAATTGTTGATTAATTTGCTAGTTGCTACTGTACTCATTTTTGCTGCTTTCAACAGTACTCATTTTTGCTACTTTCTACACAATTTGCTGCAATTTTTAAGGGGTTTTCTCTGATTTGGGTGTTTTTTATTAATTTGCTGTAAAATATATGGAGTTTTCGCCGGAATTTTTTCCCGACAAAAGTGTGAGAGATGAAGACAAGGGTTTTGTGGGGGTTTAATTTTCAATTATTTTCACTCAAAAGGCTTTATGAGTTGTTTATATGGAGTTTTGCGACTCTGTAACGGCGGCGGTTTTGGGGCAGCGCGGAGGAGAGTGAAAGAAATAAGGGGGAGAGAAAGAGAGGAAACAGGGAAAGGGGTTTCGTGGGTGTGCAACTCCGAGGTGAGAATTCGATTGTTTGTTGTGTTTCGCAATTGCGAATTTTGCGTTGAACATAGGGGTCATTGATATCTTTGATCAGTATGTAACCTCAGAAGACGGCGCCGGTACGTTTTCTGGCGGCGGATACGGTGGAGATCACGGCGAGGAGGGAGAAAACGATGAGAACGTTGCTGTTCAATATTATTGTCTGGATTTTAGGAGATAGAAATATGGAGGGGTTTGGATTTTTTTATTTTTTTTGTTTTGAAATAATTTGAAGGGTATTAATGTAAATCCATTATTACTTAATCAAGATTAAACCTGATTAATCGTTTAATCCATTGTTACAGCAAGAACAAAAGAAAAAGAAGGGAGTTGTGGATATTCAATAATTCGATTTTACAAGTAAATTAATCTATACTCAAGTTATGTAATAATATTGGATAATGCTACTTCGCCAAAATATAATGTTAAAAAGATCATAAACAACAAGATTCATAATGCTCATGGCCCCCTATCTATTTTCCTTTTCTCATACTGAAAATTTCTTTTTAAGAAGAAAAAGGTCAGTAAAGATAAAGCGAAAATAGTACTTAATAATAATGAGAAAATAACAATTTTATAAAAAGAAGTAATTACAAAAATCGGTAAACTCGGTGACATGCTAATGGGGATACCATTGCACGTGTGGTCTACGAGTTTCCAGGTTTGAATTTATTTTTTTATTTTGGACATATGCTTAATCCATCCAGGTTTGAATTAACGGGCTCTATCAGGTGAATTTCTCACCACTTTTTAGGTTAGTGTGTTTAACTTCACTAGATCAAATTTTAATTTGATTTTATTTTTGTTAATTTAAATTTTATTTGTTGATGTAGTATGATTCGTTAGTCCTTATTAGTAAAATTTTAGTTAAACAAAACAATCGATATTAGATATGAACATTGATGGAATTTAACGGGCTAAATAAATTATATCTTATGATACATTTATGTATTTATTTTTTGTAAGAACATGCCCATTTAGAATCGACATTCCTCATAATTCTTCAATCTAGCTACTTAAGTCAATTATTGAGTGTAGGACTAAAAAGTAAGGATTTTTCACTCCTATTGTCCTACATAAAGGTAAACAATGATGCTTGAAATTTTTGACCTCGAAAACCATATCCATCTAACATTCACAAAATCTTATATGTGGCTGGCTACACGGTGTGTCCACCATCATGGAGGTTGCTTCATTAGCGTTATAGGGTTACTTCGTCAGAGTTATATAAGTTACTCAGTCAATGTTACAGGAGTTACTCAGTCGTTATTCGGTCAGTGTTATAAAGGTTACTTTGTTCTTGAGTGGTCACATGATATTGCCAGCCGCACAAGAAACATGTTGCTTAAAATTATTTTAACTAAACCTAAAAAAAAAAAAAAAAGTAAACTAAGTTTATCTAAATATTTAATATGAAATTAATTTTTGTAAATTTATTTTTCCTTGAATAAAAATCATAACACAAGTTTAAAATACAGTAACGGAGCCACGGAGGGAATATCTTAGGAAAATACTCCGGACAAAGTTCAGGTAAATGGGTATTGTCGGGAAATTTGTCAATTGAAGCCATTTAAAGTTTGTAATTTGCATGTTGCATCCATTTAAAAAAAATGCAAATTGCAGCCAAAAGTACTAATAACTTGATAATTGCCACCTAAATCAATTTTTTTCTCTATTTACTTGCTGAAAAATGTTCTGAAAGATTTTTGGGTTCATTTTAGTCCTTTAGGATCCGAATTGGGGATGGAATTGACAAAAAAATAACAAAAGTGCCTTATTTTGCGTATCAAAAAATGTATTGATGTTTGTGCAACTATTTTTTTGACGTGAAAACAAGGCACTTAAATTAATTTTTTGTCTATTCCAAGCTTAATTTGGACCCTTAAGAGCTAAAAAAACCCCCTAAAATCTTAACAGGACATTTTTTCAGCACTCAAATCGATGAAAAAATTAAATTGGGTGGCAATTTACAATTTATTAGTACTTTTGGACTGTAATTTGCAATTTTTTTTAAAATGATTGAAATTTGAAAAATACAAACTTTAAATGACTGCAAATTTTTTTATTTTTTTTATTTAAGGTAGCTCCGTAGGTCAATGCTTATTTTTTATTTAAGGTAGCTCCGTTGGTTGGACTCGAATTTTTTTTTTTTTTTTTTTTTACAGGGGGCTCGAACTTGTGACTTCAAAGTCACAAGATGAGTTCCCTGCTAACTTTAACGCTTAATTTTAATGTTATTAAGCAGCAGTCCCAAAAGATGGAGTAGAGAGAGAAGAGAGATAAAAACTCTTTCTCCCTCTTCTCCTTCTCATCTCATCTCCCTCACTCTTCAATAAACACACTCACTTCCTTTCTCTCTCTAAATTCTCTCAGTTCTTTCTCTCTCCTCACTACCATTTTCAGATTCTCCTAATTCTTTCTCCCATTCAACTTAGATCTCAGATTAATTAGGGTTTTTCCTATTTTTCCTCCATTCCCCCAACTTTTAATTCATTAGATAAGCATTTTTCCATTTTTGGGCGCGTTTTAGCTGAACCAGATCGAAGAACAAGAAGCGTCGAAAAAATGTGTGAATGCAGATATATTTCCGTCGATTTTGAAGGGTTAATAATTAGTAATTTTTTGAGTTAATAATGACGATTAAAGTGGTCGTGAAGAACAAGAAGAAGGCGACGCTTTTGACCAAGGAAAGAGAAAAAAAGCACTCAAATGATGTCTCCCTTGATAGGTATTGTTGCTTGTTATTGTCAATGAATTAGTGAGAAAAATAAAGATAATATCAAAAAGAAAAACAAAAAAGTTGGAAAACGAAAGCTACTCTTACTCAACCCAACCCAACCCATCCCACCTCATTTTTCTCTTTGATTTTTATTTTTCCGGTTTTTAATTTTAGTTTAAGAAAAAAAAAAAAACTAATCATTTCTTGTTAAAATAAATCATTTTAACAAGTAAAATAGCAAAATGCCTATGTACCAACCAACGAAGGTGGAGGTGGGTGGTGGAGGTCAAGTTTTAGATCTAGATACGGCGGTGAAAGATGGAGTGTTAGGCGGAGTAGACGACGGCGGGTTTTCGCCGATGTCGGAGAAGCTGGATCTTAAGAAGATGATTGAAGAGTTAGAGGCAATAGAAGTGCCTACAGTTTTCATATGTCCAATTTCATTGGAACCAATGTTAGATCCAGTTACTCTTTGTACTGGTCAAACTTATGAGAGGTGTAATATCTTGAAATGGCTATCTTTAGGCCATTTAACTTGTCCCACTACAATGCAGGAGCTTTGGGATGATTCAATCACTCCTAATAAAACTCTTCAGCAATTGATTTATAGTTGGTTTTCGCAAAAGTATATGGCAATGAAAAAGAAATCTGAGGATGTTCAAGGCCGAGTTTTGGAGATTTTGGAGAATTTGAAGAAATTAAAGGGTCAAGCTAGAGTTCAAGCTCTTAAAGGGCTTAAGTTAGTTGTGGGTAATCATTTTTCAGCTAAGAAAACTATGGTGGATAATGGTGGGGTTGCTTTTTTGAGTTCTTTACTTGGTCCTTTCACTTCACATGCTGTTGGGTCTGAAGTGGTTGGGATTCTTGTTAATTTGAGTCTAGATTTCGAGTCAAAGTCGAATTTGACTCAACCCGCGAAGATCTCATTGATGGTTGATATGTTGAATGAGGGTTCTATTGAAACTAAGGTCAACTGTACTAAGTTGATCCAGGGTTTGATGGAGACTAAGGATTTCGACCCTGACCTGGTGTCAAGTTTGAGCCTCTTGGTGGGTTTGTTGAAATTAGTTAAGGATAAGCGCAACTCGAATGGCATTCAACTAGGGCTTTCGCTGCTCAAGATGATAAGCTCACACGAGTGCGTTCGAAGTTCGATTGTGAGCATTGGGGCTATTCCTCAATTGGTTGATCTTTTGCCAAGTTTAAAAGCCGAGTGCCTGGAATTAGCACTCTCCATACTTGACAATTTGGCTAGTATTGAAGATGGGAGATTGGCCTTGAAAAATTGTCCTAACACAATACTAAATTTGGTGAAGCTATTGATGAGAATCTCCGAGAATTGCACTCAATTGTCATTGTCCATCTTGTGGGCAGTTTGCAAGCTATCACCTGAAGAGTGTGCGCCTATTGCAGTCGAAGCTGGCTTAGCGGCTAAGCTTCTGCTCGTCATCCAGAGTGGTTGCAACCCAGCATTGAAGCAACAATCAGCCGAGTTGTTGAAATTATGTAGTTTGAATTATACTGCTACAATTTTCATTTCCAAGTGTAAGCTTACAAGAACATTGCAATGAAAGTAAATGTTTGGCAGGCAGAAAAAAGTTATTCTTGCATACTTTCATCTCTCAAATCATTCTTCAGCAAACAAATTTGTTGAAGATGTAATGCAAATAGAAAAAAAGCAAGTGGAATGAGGTCTCTTAAGGAATGTTGTGCATATAAGAGAGACCTCAATCCATGGATCAGTTTGCAGCTTACAAGTGATCCGGTTATCAGGAAGCGCCATAAACCCACCACTACTTCAGCTTCCGAATTGAGCAATAGCAGAACGAAGGTTCATTGCTCGTTGATTTGGTTATTGTACCTGATTTTAATAATAAAGATCAGTGATAGTGATTCAGATTAGGATTAAGCTGTAAAGATACAGGTGACTTTCAGATTAAGCTGTAAAAATTGGAATTGCAAAAATTCCATGGTTTTTTTGTTTGTGGGGGTGATGATGAGACAATTAGGTCTACCAACATAGAAGTCTCCTCATTCCTCATTGAAGAAGGTTAGATTCTGTAAAGATAGTCTTCAACATTTGATCAGTTTATGTACAATTTCAATCTTATTTCTGAGAATATCATTCAGATTTTCTTTATTCTATTTTGTGGCTGCTTCTGTTTGCTCTAAATTACTGCTACACTAAGTGTAAAATCCTGGCCTTTTCTTTAAGAATTTTCAATTATACTTCCGACAGTATTATAACGTAGTCAAATTCGATTTTCAAAATTCTAATTAAGTTCAAGGTCTTTACATAACCTATACTGTGATTAAATTCAGATTTTGAACAATATTTATGAATCAAAAGTTATTCTTTTTAGATTCACTTTAAGGTGAAAACTCATATTTTGAACATCCCATTAAATTTGAAGTTGTATATTTCCCAAAAACATATAATGTGATGAAATTCAGAGAGTGACTCAGCAATGTCAGAGTGCTAAAGTGAGTAAAGAGATGATGAAAATCATTCACTGAAAACAGGGCAGTAGTGATCAACTGATCATGGTGCACTCTTATGGTTTTTTTTTTTTTTTTTTTTTTTTTTTTGTTTTATTTTCACGTATTCATTATTTTTCTTTTTATAGCATAGATATGTGATGGCTTTTTGTAAATTTGTCACCTATCAGAAAGAAATGATATCTCATTGTTTTTAGGAAAGATGAGAGGAGGGAAGACAAAAGAAAAAAAGAAAAAGAAAAAGGGGATAGTGGGGAAGTGAATGAAGACTTTCTCTGGGTTGAACAATACATTTTCCATCTTGGTCTTTCTGGTAATAATAACTCCCACAGTAGGGGAGACCCCTCTAGATTCTGACTTTAAGTACTATAGCTGTAAGCTGTGGAACACACCCTAAGTACCCAATCCCAAATTATACTAAGCTAATACGATTTTGACTCGAGTTGAAAATGACTTGATTTGAATTAATAGTAATCCACTTTTTTTTTTTTTTTCATACATCACTTGGATTAATATCGGTGTTTTATACATAAAATTTAATACTTCCTCTGTTCCACAAACATTGCAACAAGGATGAAATTACGCATTCTAAAAAATCATTTTATATGCTAAATATCTATAATTATATAAGAGTAAAAATTATAAAAAGTTGATATTGTGAAAGTATTTTACGAGACGAATCTAACAAGACCCCGTATGACTATATTTTACTTTACGTATAAATCATAGTATGTGGTCAAACAAGCTTGATAAATAGTGTAAAATTCCAGTTGTTGCAATATTACTAGAACGAAGGAAGTATATTCTTGTAAATACTCCCTCCGTGTTTTAATAAGTATTACACTTACACAAATTTTTATATGTGGTTGGCCATACGATTTGGCAAGCCATCATAAGGGTTACTTTGTTAATGTAATAGGGGTTATTTGGTCAGTGTTAAAGGGGTTATTTCATCAGTGTTATAGGGTTACTCGGTCAATATTACAGGGGTTACTTGATCAATGTTATAGGGGTTATTTTGTTCTTCTATCAAATACGGAATGTTACACTTATCAAATACGATCGTGTTTTAATCAGTGTAACACACCCTTTTTTGGCAAAAACTATACTTCCCCCGTTCCAATAACATTGCAACAAGGATGAAATTTGCGCATCGCAAAGAATATTTTATATGTTAAATATCTATAATTGTATAAGAGTAAAAATTATAAAAAGTTGATATTGTGAAAGTATTTTATGAGACGAATCTAACAAGATTTCACATGACTATATTTAGCTTAACGTATAAATCATATTGTACGGTTAAACTAGAGTGATGAATAGTGCAAAAGTCCAATTGTTGCAATATTATTATTATTCCCTCTGTTTTTTATTTATTTATTTGAGTTTTAGGAGAATAAATTTGGTATAATATAATAATGTGAGTTGATGAATAATTTATTATGGTAAAAGTAATGTGGGGATATGAAAGTGTAAGTATGTGAAAGAGTAGTGGGGACCATGAGAGCGAGAATGATAAAGTAATTTAGGTGGGGTTTAAAGTAAGAGAGAGAGAAATACTTAAATATGGTACTCCCTCGGTTTCATAATGTTAGTCCCATATACTCCGTTTCAAAAAGATCTACCCATATTGAATATGTTCCATTTTAACTTAATTTTTTTGGAATTAATTGGTTGTGGGTTGATGATATGGCTCTAGTAAGGAAATCTCTACCTTGAATTATGCATTATAACTAATGCTTTTCCACAATAAAAATAAAAAAACTTAAATAAGGTAACTAATTATGAATTATTTTGTACTTTAATGTTAGATTCCAAATATTCTTCTTTTCTTATTTTATGTGATTGGTTCCATATGGAACTAACATTATGAAACGGAGGGAGTATAAAGTTACAATATATAGAAGTGATGCAAATAAAAAAAAACAACCATAAAAGGAAAGTGGTGCAAATAAAAAAAACGGAGGTAGTAGAACGAAGGAAGTATTTTTTATATTATATCTTTCTTTTCATGTCCCCACCCAAACCTACTACAAGTATTACTTTTTATTATTATTTTTTTCCTCACACATTCATTACTTTTCTATAAACTATTAATCCCATTATCTTTCTTTTACAAATTTTTAATACTCCAACTACCCCACTTATCTCTTATTTTATTTAGGTCAATTAAATTGCCTAAAAAATTATGTATCAGTTAAAGTGTGACGTTTATTAAAACACGAAGGAAGTACTCTTGTAGGAAGTAGTATTCTTGTAGGTACTTATTAGAATTATCCTAACGGATATAATTTTTTTAATACAAATACAAATGTATATTGCAATCATTTAATATTCATGTAGAGGTGTAAATGAGCTGATACGTTCATGAACTACTCGCAAACAAGCTCGGTCAAAGCTCGATCAAAACTCGTTTGTTAAGCTAACAAACAAGCGCTTTAAGCTCGTCAAATAGATGAACAAAGCTCGAACAACAACATGTTCGACTTGATAATGTTCATGAACAACTCGTTTAAATTCATTTATAAGCTTTTTCACGCCTAGATAAACTCGGTCAATTTATATATCTTTTACTCATACATATTTGTAAAGAGTACTAATTATTTCATCATATATAGGCATGAAAGTTCTATCATTACCTTTTTCTATAGAAAGAAGGAAAACATTTTATATTAAATTAAATGGATATGTTAAAACTTGAAAGAAATTATTGTTCTGATGATAAATTAGGGCTTGTTTATTTAATCAAACCCGATTTAAACATGTTTAAGCTCGAATTTATACTCAAAAGGAAAACGAGTGTGTTCGTGAACAAAGCTCGAACAAGCCAAATTCTTAACGAGCCAAGCTTAAACAAGATTTTTAAAAGCTCGTTCAAGCTCGAAATTGTTCGAACACGGATAATTCTTATCAAGCTTAGCTCGAACAGACTGAAACTCGGCTCGGCTCGGATTGTTTGCAGCCCTAAAGTCATGTAATTGAAATAAACAGTGATTACACTAATGATGTGTGATTTTGACATGTATTATAAATTTATGCGTAGTACTGTATTATTTTAGGAAATAATTTAACTAGTTATTTAACACCATCAGAGTGTTCATTAGCAAGATTTATTTATTTATTTTATTATATTTTTATAAATGATCTAAAATATTACGAGGGTTAACTCTTCATGTTGACAAATGTCCAATATATGACTATAATAATATAATGCGACCTTATGATTAAAGGGTAAGAAGAAGGGAACTTATTTGAGTGGAAAATAAAGAAATTCTCCCAAGCAAGTTCTTAGGAGATTTGTACTTAAATCACAAGGATATGAATATATTAGGCTTTTGGCTTGTACACGTACAATCTTATTATTGGTTTGTTTTTTTGTTTTTTTTTTTTTTAATTTTTTATTTTGAAGATTGAATGTTATGTGTATTTGGAAAGGATAATGGGGTAAGACACTTTGTTGAATGTAGTGTATTAAATAATAGAATGGACACATAGGTGAATATTGGTCGTTATAGGTGTAATGTGTAACCAAAAAATGATTAAAGAAATTAAAATTTTGGGAATTTAATTTAAATGAGGCTTAAAATAAAGTTGCAGGGACTAAAAGTAAAAGAGTGAAGGAAATTTGAATTGAAGAAGGGAGATAGATGAAGATAAAGTATGGGGGAGATGAATTACAATTGTTTTGGATTATTGTGGTTTTTAAAAAATTAAATATGCAAGAAGACAAGTGCAGTAGAATATTGGTTTGGAAAAAAGAAGATAGGGAAGTGTAATAGGATGGGAACATGTGTCTTCTTCAGTTTGAGTTTTTAACTATGGAGTAAAAATATACAAGTAGATGTTAGGCTTGTATTGTGAGATAGCTCATCACTTGAATACAGAGTATTAATTTTGAAAATAGAGAAACATTTCATTTTAATAATTTTTTAATACTTTCTCTATTTTTTTAGTTGCATCACTTTATAACTTGCGGATTTATAGGAAATTTTTAGAGATGAGAAAGATAGAGAGAATAAAAAAAAAATGAAACCATGCAATAGGAGAGATAAAGGGAGTTTATCAACTTAAAAAGAAAGTAATGTAACTAATTTGAAACTTCCGTTTTAAAAAAGTGATAGAAATTAAAAGGAAACAGAGAAAATATGTTTTTAAGAATGTGAATTAAATAGAGATAGTATAATAAAGGGACAAACGTTACAACTTACAAGTATAATATTAAAGTAGGATTAGAGTAATGAAACTTTAATTTAATGCAAGATTTAGTTTGACCAAGCATTTATTCATAGTCATTATTTGTTTCTCCGGGTCCAAAATGAACTTGGTCTTATCCATTTAAAATATAAAGAAAAGGGGTTGGGAATGTGTAAATTGTATTGAAATTGGGGAATTTTAAACTTTAATCCTGGTCAGCAATATAAAATAATGTAGTACGCATAGAAAAAGAAATAAAGAAATGAAGATAAAAGGGAAAAAAGATCAAATGAATACAGACAAAGTGGAGCCCAAGTAGGTCAAAGTTTGAATGAAGTGACTTGTCTTAAGAACTCCATGTTGTGTTTGCCTTTGCCATATGAGTTTTCAGAACAACTGTTCCAAGACTTCCAACTTGTTTGAACCTTCAATTTACAAAGT